TTTATCACTGCAATTAAATCTTAAATTTTTAGGTGTTCTCAGTGTTCAAGATGTTAGCTTAAATATTGGTAAAAACAAATTACTAGTCTTTTCTGCATGAAATGTACACAAAAGGAAACGAACGAAAACCACTCGAATGCAGGCCAGTACAGGAATAAGCACATTCCAAAAATTGCGGCTAACATGTATACTGAGTGCCAATGAAAACCCAACCCTCGGTTGTATAAGTATTCATGTTACCAAATGTTTATGTTGATCTACAGTAATGTTATAACTGTGACTCAGTATGATATAGTATTTATAGATTAATTTGTTTTAAATGTATCCTGTAATATATTGGAGGGTTTATTATCATATGATTACACTATTGTTGAATAAAGAACCGTTTTGTTCAGTCTTCAGTTTCCTATGTTGTGTTTTGAACACTGTTGTTTGTCTTTTTCTTTTTTAGCCATGGCGTTGTCAGTTTATTTTCGACTTATGAGTTTGAATGTTCCTTTGGTATCTTTCGCCTCTCTTTTACATAAAGATGAAATGAATATTTTTTGTTCTTTGGTTGTCCACCTTTTACATTTGGCCACAGCACAAAGCCTGACTTTGGTACGCGAAGGTCGCCAATTGCCTATGTGACCATTGCTGACAGAAGATGAGTTTTGGTCTACATAAATCTATTTGTACACCGGACGGCTGTTAATATGTCATCAAGGAAAGGCTGCCGTGCTCTTTATCAATTTTCGCGCAAACTACGCTTTACTGATACATGTGATATAGCTCCAAAGGTTCTGACGATAAGGTGAACACCAATGGATACTCGTGTCGATTGGACAGCCGTGCAGAATCAATATTGGAGATGTTAAAGACAAATATATGGGTCCTGCTAGGCGGTTGTTACTTTTTGTCTCCAGGGACGTGGCCTATTTATCAAATGATCCATTTTAGCGGAATTTGTGGATTAATGTAGAAGATAAATCTGCAGTCTACGAGCAACTATATACTAGGAAAGGCCTCCTTATATCATTCCACAAACTGCTTATATATAGAAGTAAGAAGATGTGGTATGAGTGCCTATGAAACAGCTCTCCAACCAGCTTATCGCTGGTTGTATGAAAGCCCAACTGAAATTTACTCTCATGTTTATTGAAGTTTCTTAACAATAAGTAAAGGAAAGTTCATGACATTAGTTAAGCTTTACATGACAAACGCACAAAAATCATTCGTGCGTAAAAAACGTTGAACTCGATTTACGTCCGTTCAAATAATCCTGTACTTCACATTTGTTTAAAATCATTCAACCGTAAAGTTTTCGACAGTAGTCTTTACATGTTTCAAGTCATTTTTTAACCAACTATACAAAGTTCTAAAAAAGAAAATTAAAAATCATTAGATAATAAAGAAAAATTATAGAGTTGCGTTTCTTTTGCACTCAGTATATGTTATAAATGAGCATTATTTTAAATTTGAACTTTTGGACCTTATTTCTTATAAAATACAAATTATATAGTTACACAAAATGTATAAGTATGTACTATAATATTAAAACATTTCTGCCCGTGTGGACAGTATTTACAGCTACTTTTTCATGTGTACTTTTGTAGTACTAAAATATTGAAGTACTGATATGTATTACTTTTTCAGTACTTCAAAATCATTGTACTATTTTAGTGCCATAATCTTATAAGTAAAATTCTACATTATTATGGCACGATTTCAGTATTTCAAATGTGTAGTACTACAAAAGTACATATGCCAAAGTAGCTGTGTAGACTAACCAGGAGGATGACCCTCACTTTTATAATTGTTATAAATCTACAAAGATTTTCGCGAATGATATGGTTATTTGACCTTATTGATTGCTTAAAGCTGTAAATACTGTGACTAAACGTATAATGATGTGGCAACAGCTTTTTCCAATCTTAAATGAGAGCACTACATGACATAATATAGTGATATTTGTCACCGATATAAGCTGTGACACATTCTTTCATTTTAATCATTTCAATCTTTCCCCATAACCGGGAACAGAACAACCACTGAACGAAATTTAAAAATCAGTTTAACAGTTTACCTTGTCAGTAAATAAAACAAAAAGATAAAAGAAGAGAAGTACCAATCCAAGTTGTACCCGCAGTTACTTACACATAATTTTAATGAACCTTCCTATCCTGTTTCCTATAACACTTTTATTAACTAATTAAATTGCCCACCCAAGGAAGAAATAATGACAATTGAATTATCGCTACAAGACAAAACATACAATACTAAATATGACTTGGATGACTGGGTATATTAAAACATTTAACACATATAAATTTAAAAGAAAAGAATTTCATTTATAATACTGGTAAATAAAAAAAAAATAAAACCTTCAGTATGGATTCCATTAGGAACCTGAAAAGAAATCTTATGAAACAGCTCTTGTCATTCATCAGTTAGTGGTATATTTCTTTTGACAGTTGCTTTAACATTTTATGTCATATGTATCTTCATTACTTAAAAGAGAAAAACAAATCTTTTAATCAGTACAGTTATGTTTCGGTACTGTTATAAAGCTTGGGCTTTGAATCAAAAAATGGATTTCACCTTCACCAGGATACATGTTAGTAAGGGGACTACCTTTTTTTGGGTGGTGGAAGGATTTTGAAAATGAACAGTTTTGGAGTCTGTCCGATAGTTTTAGTAAAAATGACGGTTAGAAGTTGTTTACATTCTTAGCATTTTACAATGTAGCCCTGTCAGATATTCTCAATCAACATGTATGATTTAAAGGATTTAGATATACAATTGATTTTTACTGTATTTCATAAAGGACTTTTCGTTTTGAATTTTCTTTGTAGCTCGGTATTTTTACTATTTTACTTTTTACCACTTTTTTTTTATCTATGTTAACCACGTGGTCATAATTGGCTACCGGCGGGTTCATCGGAAGCCTTTTTTCTTCGTGAATCTTATTATTAAGGCCTGATTGTTGCCAAGTTTCCTTTGATATTTGGTTGTAGTTTCAGCGGGGATAATTGTAACATTATATATGGTGATTGATCATTTGATTTTCGGCCCATGGGAAAAGGGTGGGATGGTAGGGGACAGGAGGGTTTTTTTCGGATGTAATATTCATTATCACTTTTTGATACACCACTTTATCAATTTTGGGCAATTTTATCTTTTCAAGTTATTGACAGGGTATATCATTCATTTTCAAAATCTTCCTCCCAACCCCTTTCCCCTTCCAATATCAAAAGGCCGACCCCTTATATTAAAATAGACTAGATATACCGGTCGATTTTCAGTGATGACAAATGGCAAATCAGCAAAATGCTCTTCGGGGAACATTTTTACAAAATATTTTGTTTCTTATAAAAGCATATTGTTTTGTTTAGCCTTTTTATAACATGTATAAATCGGACCAAAAGTAACGGACACAAAGCAAAGGTGTCGGACGAAAAACAAAATTATTGGGCAAAAAGCAAAAACGGACCGAAAGCAACGGACAAAAAGCAAGTGTCAGACGAAAAGCAAAATTGTCGGATCTATATTTTCTGCATTTTCTTGGCAGACTTAATTTTTTTGAATATCTAAAAAAATATGGTCTGTCTTTCGAAAACGTTCAATTTGTAACAGCCACTTTTGTATCTTATTATTTTCCTTCATACTATTACATAGAGTGCAAAATATTTTCATCCTCTGTATTAACGTAGGAAAAATATAAATACACAAATCAGAAAAGTGGGTTGAAAATAAATATGGTAAATAAATGCCTATTCTACTTATTTTGTGTTATATCTCGTCTTACTATTTTTAATATGTACCACCTTTGATAAGTATTTAGTATGACGAAAAAAAATTCAGTTCTGTACTCGTACTATGAATAACAAATTTATTTTGTAAAAAATGTCTCTGTAATTATAACAACAAAATTATTATATTTAAATTACCTTTGTACGTTACTTTATTCAACGCCATTTTGTCGTAGGTTAACGATGTCTGTTTGACATTGAAACACCTTTTTTATTTATATTGTGTCATATATCAAACTTATTCGTTCAGCGTATATTTACATGTTTTTGTGTATTGTCTTTTTGATCGAGTTAAGTCATTTCAATTGATATTTTATTGTGTGTCTATTTATGTTGTAATGTTATACCAATGTTTTAGGTTAGGGTGAAGGTTGGTGACTGTTAATGCGTTTTAACCCGCACCTGTCCTGAGTCAGGAGCCTGTTGTTCAGTGCTTGTCGTTTGTTGGTGTGTTTCATAGGTGTTTCTCGTTTTTTATATAGATTAGACCGTTGGGTTTCCTGTTTGAAATGATTTACACTAGTCATTTTTGGGGCCCTTTATAGCTTGCTGTTCGGTGTGAGCCAATACTCCGCGTTGAAGGCCGTTCTTTGATCTATAATTGTTCACTTTTTTCACATTGTGACATGGATGAATAGTTGTCTCATTGGCACTCATACCACATCTTCTTATTTCTATTTTGTTGACTCGCCTAGTATAACAACGTGATGTTCTTTTTCACACATGTTTACTGTTCCTATTTGGACTCAACAATTAGATGTGTATTTAAATTGATATGTTATAACAAATATATGTATAACACATTCTATACGTTATTGCTGTTCTTTATTATTATTATTATTATTATTTATCATGTCTACCTGTATACTAGTTTTAGAGAAAATCGCAATTGAACAGAGGAGACCGATACGCTGAATATTTAAGTAACAACAATGAGGGCGATAGCCAGATTTGGTGTATCTTATTTACACCAATATATTATGGTTGATGCAAAATTCTTTCAGAAATTTGACACTATGTTTAAAAGAACATGATAAACGCATGCTATCCAATAACATTATGAGATCTTGGTTTAAGAAAAATATTCACAAGACTGATGATTGTACACAATACAAAATGGTGTATTATATTTTCATCAGTTTTCATGCGAGTTTTTATGACTTATCAAATGGTTTTGCTATTTGTTATTTCTGACAATAAGAAAAGACATTTTAATGAAAGCTGGCCTAACCGACACAGCATTGAGTATTTATTTCAGACAATTGCATATATGTTCTAGAGTTCAATAAAAAAAAAATATACATAGTCTGAAGTAAATCATTTTTTAACAAAAACACATTTTCAATGGAAAGAAACTGTTATTTCAAGAACGATTAAAATCTAACATTTAACTTTTCAATATAAACCAAAATGCAAATTACACAAAAAAACTTTAAAGATGAATTATTGAGGATGATAATCTACATTACACATACTGATTTTGTTTTCATAAAACTAACAATGAAAATAGTCTATAAACTATTTCCAAAAAGTGCTATACGATACGATCTAAAGAGAAGTTATTATAAATGATGTTCTACATTTTTATAATGACCGAACACAGGTTTCAACACATTTACTTGATCAAAATTGAACAATTTTAACAAAGCAAATATTCCTAATAATGATTTTCAATAAACTGTTGACACAGAGATATGTCTTGCCTGTTGACAGAAAATTCAGTAAAAGACAATCTAATGGACAGCAACATTGCTAGTTAATTCAAAGAAGCTGGGACCACGACATCGAGAGCAGCGTGTCAAAATGATCTTTAAACTGATATATACTGATAGTAATGCAATTTTATAGAAAATATCATTGATATATCACAAGTAGTTCATATCAAACTTACTTTAGCAGAAAACCTAGCATTGAAAATTACTAATTAATTCAAAGTCACATGGCCATGACCTAGGTGACAAGGTCTCAAAATAGTCATTCATCTAATATGTACTGTTAGTAATGCAGCTTTATAGAAGATATCATTGATCTATTACAAGTAGTTCCTATCAAATTAACTTAAACAGAAAACTAAACATAGAAAATTATCGCTGGATCATGACCTATGGGCATGACCTCGAAATAGTTGTCACACGGATATGTACTGATAGTAATGCATCTTTATAGAAAATATCATTGATCTATCACAAGAAGAAAAGAATTGTTGTCGCTGATTGACAATTAACAAAGGATATTGACTTATGGATTATGTTCATAAACAGAAGTATATTGCATCTCTGTGTCAGAATGCTGTACAAAATCATGATAAAATTAATTATTTTAATATAATCATAATTTTAATTGTATGTGTATTTTTAGGAAATGATTCTCCTTACGCAACAAAAGATAATAGAAAAAAATCATGATACCGCTTCATTTAAAGACGGTCAAGGGTGACTAGGAATTAATTTACTCACTTTGTCATACTGTGAATGTGGATACTTCACAATTTCATTGCATACACCTTTATGATGGTGTTTAATTTGCATCTGGAACAATTATTACAGCCTTCAAGTCACTATCAGTAGTGTTCATTGTACCAAACTAATTGTGAAGGGTATATTTTAGAGCATTTAAATTGATAAAAATTAAGAGAAAATAACCTTCTTGAGATATTTTTAATGTTTACAGTAAGTTTTTTAAAAAACAATATTAACATTAAATGTAAGATTTAACTACAAAAAAGATATAATTAAATAAGGGATGTATGCTGCCGAAATTTAAATAAAAATATTTTTAATAAATGCGCAAGAACTTGATCTGACAGTTCACAATGTATAATACATCAAAAGTATACATAACAAAGATAGGTCTGTGTTCTTGTTTTTGCAAAACAGGCATCAGAAAAATTAAAATATTTTGTGATAAAACTTTGCCTCTGGATTTTTCAGAGGGGTTATGATTATAAGGAGGATATTGCACACCTTACATGTGAACATCCTAAAGTTATAAATGCATGAAATGGATATTCTTATTCAATATATAAAAGGTCTGCGACTCTTTTCACAAACCAATCTTACGATTAAAATCAATTGTAATTAGTTTATAATGAAATGTTCATAACTTACAAGTAATTTTACTTGTAAGATTTTTTGGGAAAAAAGCCCCAGGTCTTCACCAATTTGAACACCAGGATGGAGTAAAATATTACGAATGATTTTCTAATTTGCTTTCAAAAAGCTTGCTTAACAGTTCCTACAAAATAACTACCAGTTATGCTCTTTTAAGCATGTAAAAGAATAAGAGTAAGAAATATTGATTGTATTAGCATCACCCGAAATGTGGAGTCAAATGATTAATATCAGCAAAAGTGGAATTCATAATATCATAACACACAAATGGCAGTATTTCAAACAGTGTAACATTAACACATATGGATAAAATATGAAGTCCTAGTAATGGACTTCTGATAACAGTGAATGTTCATGCTAAGAAGAACTGTTAGAATTTGAAGTCACAATTCTACCATCTAATGGTCGTGGACTTCTGCAGTTGTGTATCAGATCCATATCTGTATTGCTAAGGTTTCTAAATTCCTGCAGCTGAAAAAATGAAGCATAATATTCTGAAGACGTATAATTCTTTTTTAAAGATGGATGGACTGACAACATTAACAAGTGAACACCCAATTCAGAGCATGGATAGAGATATAGTGATGACATGTATAGGGCTGTCGTTGCAGAAATGTGAAACAAAGTGGTTACAAACTATTTTAACTGTTTTTGAGCAGTAAAAATATATCAATGTTTCTGTCAAATAATAGATATATTTAAAATAGAAGATGTGGTATGATTGCCAATGAGACAACTCTTCCCAAGAGTCCAAATGACACAGTAATTAACAACTATAGGTCACCGTACGGCCTTCAACAATGAGTAAAGCCTATACCGCATAGTCAGCTATAAAATATTGTTCATTTCCTTTTGTAGTCATCTGACATTGAACAAATATTATGGCATGGTATTGGTTGCAAAAATTTGATATTTTTCATTTAAATGCAATATTTCTTATTTAATTGGTATATCTCTTCATTTAAATGCAATATTTTTTTATTTGAATGGTATATTTTTTCATTTAAATGCAATATTTTTTATTCAAATGGTATAATTTTTCATTCAAATGGTATAATTTTTCATTCAAATGGTATAATTTTCATTCAAATGCAATAATTTTTATTCAATTGGTATAAAATGTCATTTGAATGCAATATTTTTTATTCAATTGGTATAGTAGTTTTTTATTTATATGCAATAATTGCATTATGGGAAATTCTTTGACGTCATAAGGTCAAATTTGCAACAACGTTTGTGATTGGTCGGAAATTGTTTGGATTTCTCCCCTTTCTTTCAAAACATGGGTGACCAAGAATTAAAAAACGCGTCAGAATATCGCCCCTCTTACTAAATCTAACGTTCGTGCGAGTCCTGCACTGGCTGTTAAAATCTTGTGGTCATAACTAGTATTTCTATTGCAAAATTTCGATGGTCAAAACGTTCGGTCCACTTTTCAAAAACCGTTTCATTGTATATGGATTTATATGCAAGTATATCGGTTTTTTTAAATAGATTAGACACCGTTGGTTTTCCCGTTTGAATGGTTTTACACTACTAATTTTTTGGGGGCCCTTTATAGCTTGCTGTTCGGTTTGAGCTAAGGCTCCGTGTTGAAGACCGTACGTTGACCTTCAATGGTTTACATTTACAAATTATGACTTGGATGGAGAGTTGTCTCATCGGCACTCATACCACATCTTCTTATATCTATATACAACGTAAACCAGACGTTTATCAAGACTGTTTTCTTTTTTTAATAAATCCTTTGCCGCGCGTTGTGTACTGATTGATAACTCAGTTCTGGGAGAACAAGATTTATTTCAGTATCGGTTGTAATTAGGTTAGAGCAAACTTCCAGTAATTGCAAATACTCTTATGTCGGTGCTTTGTGTCTATTGTCTTAATGTTAGTTTTTTTGTGTCTCGTACCGATCTTTTGAGTTCATTTGCTGATTTGTGCAGGTTGTTATTTTCTTGTACTGTTACACCACTGTCCCAGCTTCGGGATGGGTTGCTCACAAACATGTTGTTGTACTGTTACACCGCTGTCCCAGATTAGGGGGAGGATTGGGATCCCGCTAACATGTTTAACCCCGCCACATTCTGTATGTATGTGCTTGTCCCAAGTCAGGAGCCTGTAATTCAGTGGTTGCCGTTTGTTGCTTTGTTATACATATTTGTGTTTCGTTCATTTTTTTGTACATTAATTCGGCCGTTAGTTTTCTCGATTGAATTGTTTTACATTTTTGATTTCGGGGCCTTTTATAGCTGACTATGCGGTGAAGGCTTTGCTTATTGTCGAAGGCCGTACGGTGACTTATAGCTGTTGATTTCTGTGTCATTTGATCTCTTGTGGAGAGTTGTCTCATTTGCAATCATACCACATCTTCGTTTTTATATCCACCCTGCCATATTCTTTATTTGCCTGTCCCAGGGATGGAGCCTGTAGTTTAGTGGTTGACGTTGGTTCCTGTCTCGACTCATATTTGATATTTTGTAAATTGTTTTGTTATGTATAATTAGGCTGTTAGTTTTTTGGTTTGAATTATTCACACTTTTCAAATCGGGCCTTTTATAGACGACTTTACAGTATCAGGTTTTTGTCATTGTTGGAGGCCTTACGATTGTCTACAAAAAGCATTTGTCTACATGACGGCAAAAAGCTCTACAGAGCTTATGTTTGTAGTATTTCATGTAACCCGACTTAAAATAATTTTTTCTTATCTTATCTTATCTTATCTTATCTATAATTGCTTACATGCACTTAATATTTGAACTCCGGTGGATAGTTGCCTTATTAGCAATCATATTCCATCTCTTCATTTTTATATTATATACGTGACTTCTAAACTCGTGTTTTCCTGAACAAGCATGAAATAATTTTCACTGGGCGTTAAAATTAGCAACAAACAATCAATCAATTTAAACTTGTGTTAAATAAGAGGAAAACCATTTGATATTTATTTATTTGTTGGGGTGGGGGACAGAAGGATTTCATATATGAATATGGTTGCCTGGTAAGAGCTGAAAAATAGGCATGATTAGCGACAGATTGAAATGAATAATAATGCCCTCTCTTCCCTTCCCCATCCTTCATCTATAAATTTAAACAATCAATCAAAATCCCTTCCCTAGAATATCAAATAATCGTCCCTTAACTGTTATTGTCAGTGTAGTTCTTATATTTATCCAGCTTATCGTCCTACAGGGATGTCCTACTAAGGCTGTCATACCATAAAAACGTTTATAAAACAGCTCACATTCTAATATATCTGCATTCATAAATTTATTAATTTCATTTAGACTAAACGACGCCATGTTTGTTATGTGCCTCTGCCGTCAACCTATCAAAAAAGAAGAGGTGGAAGAGAGCCAGAAGATCTTCCCAATGCAAAAAAAAACAGAAATGGACTTCTTCTGGCACACTACCGAAGAACAAAAAAAAAACCGCGCCCCATTGATATGTTTTAAAAACGTTTTGCCCTTTACCTTTTTTTCCAAAAAAATGGCATTATTAAATATATAAACATATATATAATCATCAAAATTAAAATGCTATTGTATTTTTATAAGACCTACTTTATTACATGACCTGGGACTAATGACATCTATTTATAAGTCCTAGCATACATTAATTATTATAATATGAATATGTTTCTTGTTTTAATAACCACATATGATGCTATGCATGAGTCACCATTTATCAGGACATGAATTGGGTTTACATAGAGAGGATAAGGAACGACATCAGAAAATCAATGAAGAATAAAAAACCTAATTCAAATAGTTTTTTTTTTTTGGGGGGGGGGGGGGGGGGGGTCAAAATTGCTGCAAGTTTTGTTTAATTAACATCGATTTTATATATATCCTTATTGGTCAATCAATATTTTTCCCAAATTAAAGGATAAAGAATAGAGTGAAATGGTAAAAACTAAAAGATACAGAATTATAGAAACGATCTTTGATCTGAAACCCCTACCCTCACACACACACCATAACCATTACTGCCAATACTCGCATATATACATCTCTATACAAATATCTCAATTTGAACCTACTCCCCTCCTCTAGACACCGAGGTTTTGGATCCGCCCCTGTTAAATGTGTCTAATTATATACATTTTGTACGGGTCTAGATAATAGCTAAACGTACAATCATTTAATTTGTTGGATACCTAATTATATTATATAATGTGTCACAAAATAAACTTGTATACCCCCTTCCCAATGCAGTATTGAAAAGTAAATCATTTAAAAGTCCTGAAGACAAAATATGTTTTGAAATATGCCCTGCATACTTATTTATGCAAAGACATATAGTAATTATTGAACTACTGTGGGGCTTGAAAAAAATCTGTTTAAGGGATTCGGAGACGAGAACAGAAAAAAAAGCTCAGCAACGAATCCTAAATGTAAAATGATTTGCAGCATAAGACATGAGAGCACATATTATAGATATTATTAAATATGAAGTTCACGCCTCATATAGTGAAGTCCTATGTCATAGGACTATTGTTGTAACATGGGTTAGTAACTGGTTCCAATTTATCCTGAATTGTCTTTATTAAAGAATTAGTTCCGGAGTATAACAGCTTATGTCTCTACTTGTGGGTTTCTGGTTCTGCTGTCGTAATTAGGTGATTTTTTTTTAAAAAGTAGTAAAAAAGAGGAGGCTTAGTCCAAATAATTGTAACGTCCTGGATGCTTTTTATTCTGTTTTTATGTGTGCCTTCCTGAACGTCTCTGAGGATCAAGAAGTAAAAAATGATATATCACTAAAGAACGTCATGATTACATGTATCTGGACTTAGAAGGGGGAGGGGGCTAGCTATGTATTTTTTTTGTATTTCAATGTGTAGACTGTAGGAGAGTTTCTTCAGAAAAGGTTTTCATTGGAGGTGTTTTTGCCATGCACGCAGGCATCTGTTTCTATCCATGAACAAGTTGTGTGTCAAATTAATTATTATTACTTGTCACTCGCATTTTTTGCTCGTCCAGGCCATTATTGGCATTAACAGAAAGTGCACGAACTCGAACGAACGCCAAATTTAGTTAGAGGGGCGATATTCTGACGCGTTTTTTAATTCTTGGTCACTCAAGTTTAGAAAAAAAGGGTAGAAATCCAAACAATTACCGACCAATCACAAACGTTGTTGCAAATTTGACCTTATGACGTCAAAGAATTTCCCATAATGCAATTATTGCATATAAATAAAAAACTACTATACCCATTGAATAAAAAATATTGCATTCAAATGACATTTTATACCAATTGAATAAAACATATTGCATTTGAACGAAAATTATACCATTTGAATGAAAAATTATACCATTTGAATGAAAAGTTATACCATTTGAATAAAAAGTATTGCATTTAAATGAAAAAATATACCATTCAAATAAAAAAATATTACATTTAAATGAAGAAATATACCAATTAAATAAGAAATATTGCATTTAAATGAAAAATATCAAATTTTTGCAACCAATACCATGCCATACAAATATCATGTATTTCGTTGTAGAAATAAATTGAAAACTAAATGGTTACATCAAATGGTTGTTAATTACTGAAATTAAAGTTTGTTAATTTGTTGATACAAACTATCTTTATCACTATTAAAATAACAACCAATAATTTTTATATTGAAAGGCCAATACTAGTGTACCAATTATTTGTAACAATACATGACTTAAGCGTCCAAAGAAACATGTGTAGCTTACTGTTTCCAAATAATATACACTGAAATAGCGAAGATCAGGCATCAGTTTAATTGAGGTCTGCAGCTGGCATATTAGTAACTGCCAGTAGTACTTTGTTAACTTGTGTTGCTCATCGTCATTTTGCTTAGTTTTTTTCTGTTAACTATTCTAATATCTGACTGCGACTTCTTTTTAAACTGAGCTTTACTGTGCATATTGCTGTGTGTTTGTTTATTCCACATTAGCTAGAGGTATAGGAGAGGGTTGAGATCTCAAAAAACATAATTAACCCCTCCGCAATCTTACGCATGTCCCAAGGCAGGAACCTCTAGCCTTTGTTAGTCTTGTGCGTTTTCTAATTTTGGTTCATTTATATGTTTCGGAGATTAGTGTGACGTCCATTTTCACTGAATTAGTATACATTATTGTTTAGAGGCCAGCTGAAACCTGCCTCCGGGTGCGTGATTTGTTTGCTGCGTTGAAGACACATTGGTGGCCTTGGGCTGTTTTCAGCTCTTTGGTAGGGTTTTTGTCTCTTTGATACATTCCCCATTTCCATTCTCAATTCTATTTATAATTTGAAACCCTAAATATTACTCAGATCAAAATTTAAAACAGCAAGAGCACAAGGCGTAGATGAATTCGCAAATTTGTTTGGATTCTGTCAATGAACTGTGGATTAACAAAGCGCAAGGGGGGTGTTAACAAACCAGGAGCACAGAAGAGATTCTTATATGTAGCTATAGCTTCAGTGTAGGGAAACACAAAAGTTACTATATCTTTGGAAAATTCAATTAGTATTACAAAAAAGCGTTGACAAATTTTGCATGTCATTGGTACATTACCTGGTTTTCTGATAAGTAAATGTTTTCTTTAAACATGGTCCATATGACAGGAGCACATGGTGGAGTTGTCATTGATCCAAAGTATCTGTAGTAAAACGTAGACGATGGTAGTAGTGAACTAAGTTTGAATCTTTGAAGAGGTATTATGTCATCTGTGAACAAGACAATCATACTATAGTTAACAGCAGTTTTTAAATGATTTTAAATGTTAAAGAATTCACAGCCTGAACTCAGTTGTAATTGCACAGAAAAAAATGGATGTAAATGCCAAACAAAGCACATAAAGAAATCTACATTCTCTAAAATGTAACAGCTTGCAAATTATTTATATGAATGGGTTTTCTACGACAATTATGATATTTCATTGTAACTATCAATTTTAAATGATTAAATAATATGAACCAATAACAAAATTTCCAAACAGTTAATTCGATTTTTGTTGCAAACCAAAACATTTTTAAAGTGTCAGATATTCAATTAGCATAAGAGTTTGATTGTAACATGTTTAATGTATAGAATATAATTTTTAGAAAATTATTTTGGTGGTACTGAATAGAATTTAATCTTAGATTATTGATTTAGCCAAACCATAATGACCTGAACTCTTCCAATGGAATAATTGAAATATACATACCTTGTTTTTGAACATTTTTCAGTTTGTTAGTTATTTCATCATAGTTCTTGTTATGAGAACCAACCTGAAAACATTATGAATACATTAGTGCTTTATAGTTAGAACCAAATATGTTCTAATATTTAGATGCAAATAAACTCATCATAGATACCAGGATTGAAATTTTGTATTTGCGCCAGACACGCAAACAGTTACTCCTGAAACGTTTTTTTACTCATATTTATCAAATTGCTATGTTGATTGGAACATCATTACAACTAATCAAACTTTTGTATTACTTAGGCATCTATAACAGATAGACATGTGTCTAATTTCGAACTCGGTCAACAGATGTCATTGCTTTCTCACTGATATTATCCAACATATATTTAACATTAAGTTGTCCCTATAAGTGTTTCATCTTCCTTTTCCATGTGGTCAAAGTCAAATGAGTTTAAGACAGCTGTAAAGAAGCATTGTATGATGATAATGATGATGATGGTGTTTAGTGTCCATTGGCAAATAGTACATGCATAACAGGACGGGAATATATTAATATAATATTTATATGAACCCTTGTGCAAAACTTTAAAATTCTCCAAATGTATATTAAAGTGAGATTCAGATTTTCATTGAGATTGAAGGCTATAAATTGAAAAATTAGTTGTTTTTATTACACAAAACAGGTCATCCCTGTTTGCAGCCAACCTGTTCTACATTTATAACACCATAAGCCAAGCTGCACTTTATGCAACATGGCTAAAAATGATCCTAAAGATATAAATAAATTAACTGAGATGTGGGTTAAATCTCAGTTGGTTTAGAAATCACTACACACCAACACCACAAAGGACAACAATCATGACAATACTGAAACATATTGAATATATGTAGAAAATATTGATATAATTTTAATCAATGTTCATTTTTTATCATTTCTTTTAGAGTAACACATTTGTAAGAAAAGGTGTCAACTACAACAATGTTATAGACTGAGAAAGGGTTTGCAAATCATTCTCTTACAAACAAAGCGATATAAACACTTTCAGTTTTAAACAAAACAACTTACATCTATTAGATAACCTAGAACTGCAAGTCCATTTACGTTTTTCAAGGCTTCTCCAGCGTTTGAGTATTTATCTAGATGCATTACAATATGAAGCTGAAAAAATACATTATTATACTAGTAAACATCTCCATAAATTTAATAAAGATTTATTTTAAGTATCAATAGCAAAGAAACGAAATATTAAAACAGCAGTGCTTTTTCGACCACATCTACATCTGTAACTTTTGAAATGTTGCATCAACAATATGAACTAGTAATCCTAATGAATGGATTGGACAAAGTGTCATTTGAAAGAACAATGTGGATAGCACAGATTGATTGATTAATTGGCGTTTTACGCCACTTTCAACACTTATGTGCTATATCTTGGCGGTCATTTTTATTGATGGAGGAAGTCGAAGTTCACGTAGAGAACCAACGACCTTCGGTAGGAAAACTGACAGTCATAGTCAATTAAGATTGGAGTCGAGCGCAACTGCCACGTGCCGGATTAAAACTCACAACCTCAGTGTTGACAGGCTAGTGATACAGTAGTGATATCAACTACTTAGACCACTCGGCTATCGAGGCCCTGGCTAGTATGGATTACATGGACTAGAACTGGAATTTCTGAATCAGTTTATTTCGAGGGAATTAAGGTTTTTGCTTTGTATCAGTCAGGCCAAAAATAAGATTTAGATTGTTTGATGTTGCCTACTTACCCACCTTAGAATCAGCCTACCCGAAAAATGTTATGACACAAATCGGTTCAATTTTGTTTTAATGATTTTTTTTCCTGCTCTAACGTTGTTTTTCTTGTCTAAAACATGTTACTTATGTTGTTGGCCGAACAAAAATAAAATCTACCTACCTTCCCAACACTTCAAGGCATGGGTAGGCAACATCAAACAAAGATGTTTTAAGGATGGGCTCAGCAACTGCTTATGTAACATATTGCATATTTCCACATCAAAATTGTTTATCATACCTTTTCTGTTATAAAAAACAACTTTCCTTAGTATAAGACCTCATATTCTTTTATTACAACACACTTTTCTATTTGACACAACATACCTCAGCAGTCACCTGTTTTCCGTCATATGTATGTTCTGAACCAACATTATTATTTGGTCCCCAGTGGAAGTGGAATTGTTCTACTTTATACGTCCCTGGTAAACTTCCTCCTGTCACCTTAATATCATGTCCTTGAAGGTTGACTTGTACTGAAATACATACATATATATATATAAGTGCAATAAAATATTCAAAGTCAAACAAAGCGATATCTTTTAACATAAAAAAAAAATGAAGAGGAATGGTCGAACAGTTCGCAAGAAATGGCATGGAAAATGGCGGATTTTGCAAAGGTCCATATGCATGATATGTGAACAAAGGAATCTGTGGGTACAACGAAACAATAACCAAATGACTCAATCAATGCGAAGGTGCGCTGTTAAGGTAGTTTCTATCCTTTTTTAAATCGTTAAGGGTTACGCGGTATCCTGTGTCTCGCCTGTAACTGCTGCTGTCAGCATGCATCAGTGTGCTTATTATGAAGAAGCGTATATTCAAGCTTTGGTAAACACAATGAAGGTTTAAAAAAGTTGTTAATGGCTAAAAAAAACTTTAACAACGTTTTAAAACTAAATTTTGACGACTCTGAAAACACCACGACTGACAGTAGGATCGCTATACTTAATGATACTTAATGATTTTTTCCGGTACAGGATCCTTACGGTTCCTCTTCACCAGACTCATATATTGTGTTATTATTTCTATTATTTCTGTTGCTGCTTCCGGTTATTTCAGCTCGATAATCAGAATAATAGATTTCTTCGTATTCCCAGTACTTATCTAGTCTATTTTTAAAAGCATTAATAGAAGGAGCTTTTGTACCTGTATCTGGTAGCTTATTCCATAATTTGGCAATACTTACTGCAAAGCTATTTTTCCTCAGACTGGTTTTAAATCGTTGGTGAATGTTTTTGTTACTATTAACTCTTGTGCTATGCCTATTTTCGGTGTTTGATATTAATTTGAGAAATGAACTAGTTTCTGGATCGTATTTTCTATTTATTATCTTATAAGTCTCAATCATGTCCCCTCGGACCCTTCTTTATGACAATATTGGAAGCCTAAGCTTTTTCAATCTTTCTGGGTAGCTTAATTTATTGAATCCAGGTATCTGGCGTGTCGCTCTTTTTTGTACATTTTCGATTTTGTCAATACATTTCTTTTTAAAAGGTGCCCATACTGAACTAGCATAGTCTAAGTGTGTTCTCACTAATGTTTTATATAGTTGAAGGAAGATCTCTGCATTTAAATTATTAAATGTTCTTCTTACTGCTGCAAAGATAGAATTAGCTTTGTTCACTTTTTTGCATATATGCTTTTAAGAGGTTAAATCTTCGTCTATAACTACTCCAATATCCTTCTCTTCTCTGCATTTGATAATATTATGACCTAGTAGGTTGTATGTTGTGCTGTCTTCTCTTACCCCTCTGCTTATATTTATGTTTACATTTTTCTGGGTGGAATTTCAAGAGCCATGTATCACTCCACTTTTCCAAGTTATTTTAAGTCATTTTGCAGTATATCTTGGTCTGTTTTGTCTTGAATGATCCTGAAGATTTTGGTGTCGTCAGCAAATAAGTAGGCATCCGATGTGACACATTCTGGCAGGTCATTTATGTATAGAACAAATAACAGGGGGCCTAATACTGAGCTTTGGGGTATTCCAGATGTTACATCTTTCCACTCTGATGTTTCCCCATTCACTGAGACTCTTTGTTTTCTATATGACAGAAAGTCTGTTATCCTATCCCAAATTTCTCAATTTTCTTTACGAGTCTCCTCTGTGGTACTTTGTCGAAGGCTTTCATGAAGTCTGTGTATATGTGCAATCAACCTCATGACCATTATCTATAGCTTCTGTCCATTTATCTATTACCTGCAGTAGTTGTAGCGTTGTTGATCTTCCAGAAATAAATCCGTACTGTTCATTTGAAAATAATTTATATTCTTTCATATGGCTAATAATATGCTCTCTTATGATTTTCTCCATAATTTTGCAAACCACTGATGTTAGGCTTACTGTTCTATAGTTTGTCGCTTGTGATTTATTCCCTTTTTTGAAGATTGCACTCACCAAGGCATTTTTCCAATCCTTTGGGACTACTTTTTGAGTTAGTGATTGGCTAAAATTATGCTTAGTGGTTCAGCTATGCCCTCCATAACTTCAAACAACAGTCTTGGGTGTAGATTATCAGGGCCAGGAGATTTATCTGTTTTTATTTTTTGAAAGTGCTTCGATACCATATCAATGTCAATATTAAATATCTCTATTTTGTTTTGTATGGAAATTGGTTTAAGTTCTGGGATATTGCCTTGGGGTTCATTTGTAAATACACTAGTAAAATATTCTGATAATATTTCATCTTTTTGTTTATCATCATCCGTTTTTTTCAGATTTTACATCTTCCGGGTCAACATGTAGTTCACCTATACCTTCTCTTGTTTTTGATTTGGATTTAATATAACTCCATATGGCTTTAGGATTTGTCTTGGCATTATCAGATAATCCTTTTTCAAATAATTTCTTTTGTTTATTTACCGATGTTTTGGCGGCCTGATTTCTGACTTTGTTGTATTCGGTTCTTGTTTCTGGGTCTTGTTTAGTTATGATTTTTTTTTAGATAAAATGTTTTTCCTTCTAATCAGCTCTCTAGTTTTTTTATCTATTGGGAATACATTTTTCTTTTTTCCTATTTGTGTCATAGTTTTAGTTGGTATAAATCTGTGTTCTAGATCCTTTAAAATGGTTAAAAAATAGTTCCAATTATTATCAATGGAATTTTCAGCATTAAGTTTACCATGCCAATTTATTTTATTTAGCTCTTGAATAAAATCTTTGTAGATTCCATGATTATACAGTTTTGCAATTATTGGTGTTCTTTTTATATTTACATTACACATGTTACCGTTAAAATCAAAAGATAGGACGCAATGGTCGCTTTTTCCAAGCGGGCTCATATACTCTAAGTTGGAAATCATCTCTTCCTGGTTTGTAATTACTAAATCTAGGATGTTGGGGTGTCAGCTCCTCTCCATCTTGTAGGTTTTGTTGTGTGTTGACATAAGAAATTGTCTTGTAGTGATTCAAGAAATCTATTTTCAATATTGTTTGATCTTTCCCCTTTTGTATTCCATGTTTCCCAATTGATTTCAGGATATTTAAAATCTCCCATAATGAGTATGTGGGAGTACTCCATTTCCGTTGCCTCTGACATTAAGTTTACCAGTTTATCATTATACTCCTTGGAGCTGTTGGATGGGGTTCTATAAATCAAACCTACTAGAAGTTTATTATTTTGATTTAGCTTAATTTTGATAAATATGTTTTCTTGAAATTCGGTCTTCATCTGGATTTCTGTAGCATCTAGGTTGGAATCTACATACATTAAAAGGCTCTTCCTTCTTCTGTTTTTAGGTTTTTCTCAAATATTTTGTAATTTCCTACCTCAGGTAACGAGTATTCCGCTGTTGATGGTTTATATCTATTTGCTTTTGATTTTACTTCTGTTATTCCAATTATATTTAGTTTGTTGTGTCTGGTTCGGACGATCAATTCCGACAATTTGTTGAATAGCTGATCTGCATTTTTAAAAACAGTTCAATTTGGGTAGAACTGTAAAGTTATTTACATTAGTGCCGTTAAAAACCTTTCCCTTCTTTTGTACATTTTTATTTACATTATTTGTTCCTCTTTTTACTTTCTTATTTTGACTACCTTCCTCGCCCATGGTGGTCCCTGACTTTGAACAGGAAGTCCCCCGAATTGTTCTCTTTTTGTTTCTTTGCCTCAGCCCACAATCTCTTTTCTTGGCTTCTTGACCTTCGTCTCAGGCGACACAAATGTAAAGTTAGGGACGAGTCCTAGGCGGCCACTAAGAGATATATCTCGCCTTTTTATAATTAATTTTGATAGTATAATGTGATTATTGAAATTAAAATGGCAGCAATTTAAAATACCAATGGACTATGACTGACGAAGCGAGACCAAATATTCTCGATGAATATGAGATGTGCTAATTAATGCTAATACAACTGCCTACTAAAATATCATTGACCCACTATTAGTGGTTCCTCTAAAAGTGACATTATCACAAACTTTAATAATTGTAGACGCTGCAACCGGAAACAGCACATATAAGTCTCGACGACAGGAGACAAAAGTCGTTCTGGACCCCAAATCGACAAAGGAACTATATTTAGTATACTGACTGGACGCATGTCTTCAAGTTATCATTTCTGAAGCATGTTGACCTCTAAATGTCTTTTGACCTTTTTGTGTAATTTGGTTGCCATCACATTGATGCACTCCACATTTCAATTTCTGATTAAAAAAAAGAAAGGAAAAAACTGAAGATTGATGTATTGGAGATATTTATAGATTATCGATGGTTTTTCAAACGAGAGGGTGTTTCTCAGCTTCTCATCGAAGGGCGACAACCCTGAGATGAAATGTGGCAGAGAAACATCCTCGAGTTTGAAAGACCATTGATAATCTGTTTATTGCTATTTTGCCTATGACGTCGTTTATTTTTACATTGATAACGGCATGTGCGCTCTTAGTTTCTGACGATAATTTTTTATCTCAAGCGAGTAGCATGATATGAAAAATTATCACAAAAAAAAAATGAAAAATACAACAAAATAGCGATAATTCTTTATATTTTCTATAAATATTTTTTAAACAGTTACTTCTTAATGAGCCGAAATTTAGTCTATTGTATATTGATGTTTTATACAATACACAAAAATTACCAGAAAACATTATTATGTTATATGGTTTGCTACTGGCCCTCTACGGATCCATAGAGGGTTAGAAAAATCCATAGGGGGCGAAACCGAAAACTGAATCCCCTATGGATTTTACTGACCCTTTATGGATCCGTAAATGGTTGGTAGTGAATCGCATAACAAATTTATCGCAAACGGGTCTTTTTTGCCAAGTTTTCACAGGCACTTGTTTCTGAAAAAAAATTATATTGAGGTATATATAGGATATTTTTTTCAGAGACAAGTGCCTGTGCAAGTTTTGTATAAAAATAACCAATGAAATAAAATAACCTTAATAGGTGACGTCATCATTAATAGTAGACGTGACGTTACGTCATGATATTCATATGAAAACTACAGACCCCTACATGCTACGGATCCATAGGGTTCAACACGTGACGGCGTTAAACCAATCACAACATCACTAGTCACTAATTTACCCAAGGTGCAATTTCTGATTAAAAAAAAGAAAGGAAAAAACTGAAGATTGATGTATTGGAGATATTTATAGATTATCGATGGTTTTTCAAACGAGAGGGTGTTTCTCAGCTTCAATCTCATCGAAGGGCGACAACCCTGAGATGAAATGTGGCAGAGAAACATCCTCGAGTTTGAAAGACCATTGATAATCTGTTTATTGCTATTTTGCCTATGACGTCGTTAATTTTTACATTGATAACGGCATGTGCGCTCTTAGTTTCTGACGATAATTTTTTATCTCAAGCGAGTAGCATGATATGAAAAATTATCACAAAAAAAAAAAGGAAAAATACAACAAAATAGCGATAATTCTTTATATTTTCTATAAATATTTTTTAAACAGTTACTTCTTAATGAGCCGAAATTTAGTCTATTGTATATTGATGTTTTATACGATACACAAAAATTACCAGAAAACATTATTATGTTATATGGTTTGCTACTGGCCCTCTACGGATCCATAGAGGGTTAGAAAAATCCATAGGGGGCGAAACCGAAAACTGAATCCCCTATGGATTTTACTGACCCTTTATGGATCCGTAAATGGTTGGTAGAATCGCATAACGAATTTATCGCAAACGGGTCTTTTTTGCCAAGTTTTCACAGACACTTGTCTCTGAAAAAAAATTATATTGAGGTATATATAGGATATTTTTTTCAGAGACAAGTGCCTGTGCAAGTTTTGTATAAAAATAACCAATGAAATACAATAACCTTAATAGGTGACGTCATCATTAATAGTAGACGTGACGTTACGTCATGATATTCATATGAAAACTACAGACCCCTATGTTACGGATCCATAGGGTTCAACACGTGACGGCGTTAAACCAATCACAACATCACTAGTCACTAATTTACCCAAGGTGCGACAATTAAGTATCTTTAAAGAATATAAACTTCACTTACTAGAACGTCCATGATTGGTACACAAAACCATGTCGACATCCCTAGTCTTCTCCAACTCCCCAAGGTTAAAGTTTTCCAAGGACGAATCGTACACAACATCGCTTGTCTTAATATCAATCGGAGACTGGAATTTCCCATTGCACAGAGGAAACAATGTGTGCCATTGTTCTGGTACTAAATAAATGAACAAAAATCGCAGTGAAAAAAATACTATTATTGTTCAGTGTGTTTTCAGATACATATAAATTTAGTACATATACGATAATAAAATTAAAAATAAAATTAAAATTAAAGTAAAGGAATAATCAGTTACGCAGTACATATTTTACGTGTGTTCCTGTGAAGAAAGGTTTGAACCATGCAAGCTATTCTATGGCAAACATCTATGAGCCTCCTCGTGGGGTTTTTGATTGTGTGATTACTTGGCCGTTTTTATAGTGATTATTTGATTACAATACCAAATATTTCAAGATTATTTGATTATTTGATAATCTGGGACTGTATTTTTGATTATTTGATTATCTTGTTTAAAAAGATAATTAATGATTATGTGATTATATTGGCAAACAATTTTTGATTATGTGATTACTTGGACACCCCATGAGGGGCCTCATCTATCCTATATAGTACGCTTTACGCACAATTTCACGTTACGCCTGCATGTTTACCTTGCATAGAACATCCACATTAAAACATACGTTGTTCATTTGTGATCAGAAAAATATTGATTGATTGATGGCTGTTCAACGTCCAGTGGTAAATTAAATGCATATTCAGGACGATAACCTGTTAATGTGATTGGAATATGAAACATATTTGGTACTAAACCGACCTCGCTGAGTCTGATTTTTAACATGCTACATTGTATTTCTCACTGTTACGGTCCACAGGAAGACATGCCATCCTACTTGGACACATTATGCTGACTACTAGTCGACAAAAACTCTTTACTCTTACTCCTTATTGTCGCGTTCTTATTGGAGAAGCATCAAATACCAATTTTCAAGTCTTTAATTTGACCTAGTCCGGGATCGAACCCACAACCTCCCGCACTAGATACGAGCACACTACCTCGAGAACACCGAGCCAATTGATAAGAACTATATGTTTTATGTCAATCTAATCAAAATATTGACCTCTGATATCGTTTTCCTCATCAGCTTATGAGGATAACGAAATCAGAGGTCAATATTTTAATTAGATTGGCTTTATGTACGCTGTTATTTACATACTAGTACGTGTTAATGTCAAATAAAACTTCTATGTATGCCCAGGATATCTACCAATACGACAAAAACAATACACAAAACATTCCCAACAGATATATTGGCCACGGTTAAATATACAGACAACTATATATGTATCCTATGCTTGGCTCTAACTCGCCCAAACCTTTACCTGTTATGTATAAATTTTACAAATGACCAAGGATCTACTAACAACAGAAAAATATAAAAAATAGCACAAAGATGATAAAGGCAACCACTGACGAGGTTCAGGCATGACTTGGGATATGACCAACGATCTACAAACAACAGAAAAATATAAAAAATAGCACAAAGATGATAAAGGCAACCAATGACGAGGTTCATGCATGACTTGGGATAGACACATTATCATGTGACTGAGTTTCTTTAAGAACTCAACACACACACCCTCCCCCTTTCCCTCCTCTCTTTATTTCTTATCTCAAAAGTAGCATAGCAAAATAATTTAATAAAAAATCAGTTCGGATTTAGGACCAGCACGGCACACTAGTATCACACCGGTATTACAAACGACAAAAACACTAAATCTGCATTGCATAAAATGATGTCGTCAATTCTTCAACAAATACCAGCCGCTGTACTTACGCATAAATTTACTGCAGACAATAATGTTGTACAATATCAAAAGTAAATTTTATATTAGAGTCTAAATGAATTGATTGATTAATTGTTGGTTGTTTAACGTCCAGTGGCAAATATTTCATGCATGTTCAGTACGAGAACAAGTTAACAATAAATACAATAGGTAGGTCTTGTAAGAGAGGCCATCCGGGATGAAGGTCGGGGAAATTTGGACTGCCACGGGAAAATGAGGGTATATTGGATAAGGACAGAAATTTTGCTCATCAACAGGCCACCTACGGACCCCTCAAAGAGTTGTTGCAAAGGTTCTTAACATGCAGAGAGCGTGGCACTCTCTTTACACGAGGCATCGGATTTAACGTTCCTATTCTGACCGGACGTGGCTGCAAACTTGTACATTTCATCTAAAATGTATAAATCTACCCTTAAAAGAATATGAACTACTTGGAAATTCAACTGACAGCTGGTTCTGCAAAATATGTTATTTACCAGATTTTAGCGATTCGTATTTTATTGATTTTAACGAGGAGTCAAACGCACCTATAAATGACAGTCTATCGTCAAACTCTACTTCCGGTGTAAACAAACTTTTGTTCCAAGATTTGAGAGAGACCAGACGTCTGCATCCAAAGAACTTTATTGCGGCATATGTAAACATAAACAGTCTCAGGTTCAAATTTGATGAGGTAAAAGAACTTCTCACAGACAATATAGTTGACTTATTGATGATCGCCGAATCGAAATTGGACAATACCTTCCAAGACAACTTATTTCAAGTTGATGGTTATAAATTACAAAGGCGTGACAGAGATCAGCACGGCGGTGGTTTACTTACCTTGATTAAATCAGACTTTCCCTCCAGTAGAAAACAATGTTTTGAATCTGATAAACTTGAAAATATTTGCTATGAAATTTATATAAATGATGCCAAATGGCTTATTATGGGAGCATACAAACCTCCATCCATGAAAAATAATGACTTTATTGATAATTTTACAAAATCACTAGATAAATGTTTTGTGTCATATGAAAATATTATTATTTTTGGTGACCTTAATTTTGATATGTTGTCTGCTGAAAAATCTCAGACTTTACATGATATATGTGATATTTTCAACTTATCACAACTGGTTAAAGGTCCAACATGTTTTAAAAAGGGTTGTAACCCATCCCTTATTACAAGTAAAAAGAATTTGTGTTTTAAAACAACAAATAGTCCAAATGGTGTTAGTGACTGTCACAATATTATTTCTACAGTTGTGAAAGGGAATTTACCTGCACAAAAATGCAGGGACGTAACATATAGAAGTTACAAAACTTTTGATATTGACAAATTTACAAATGATTTACAGAAAATAAAGATTTCAGAAAACTGTACTGAGAAAGATTTAAATAGTATTTATGATGATTATGAAAAAGATTTTAAAAATATATTAAATAAACATGCACCTGTCAAATCTAGGTGTCAAAGAAGAAAACCACTGCCATGTATGAATAAAGAACTGAGAGGGGCCATATATAGAAAACAAATGCTTTATTCACAATATACTAAAAACCGGAGTGACAAAAATTGGGAGAAATTTAGAAAACAAAGAAATTTGGTAACTAAGATAAAGAGAAAATCAATAAAAGTATACTTTTTAGAACGTTGCTCTGGTGGGTCAAAATCATGCGAGTTTTGGAAAACAGTCAAACCATTTTTCTCAAAAAAGGGGAACTGTGGAGAACAAAAAATCTTATTGTGTGAAAATGACAAAATTGTAAATAGTCCAAATGAAGTTTCAAATGTTTTTAATAATTTTTTCTCCACAGTAGCAGACAAAATTGGAGCAGATGTGGTATATGACCCCTCAAATCACCCAAGTATAAAAGAAATTTTGAGTAACAGAAAGCATGTTTCTGACTTTGAATTTAAGAAAGTATCTAACGAAAATGTCAATAAAATCTTGAATAAAATAAACATAAAGAAGGCTACAGGAGCTGATGGTATTCCAGCAAAAATAGTAAAAAATTGTAAATCTTATATTGCACCACAGCTGACAACTCTTGTAAATTTATCAATTGAAAATAACTGTTTCCCTGACAAACTTAAAGAAGCCCAAGTGACCCCCCTTCATAAAAAGAGTGATCCATTATTAAAAACAAACTATAGACCAGTTAGTGTCTTACCCATATTTTCTAAAATCTTTGAAAAAATATATGAAATTCAACTAACTGAATACTTTGATAAAATATTTAATCCTTTTTTGTGTGCTTTTAGACGTGGACATGGATGTCAGACCACACTTCTCAGAGTGTTAGAAGATTGGCGTGAAGCTCTCGATAAAAACCAGTACATTGCAGCGGTATTAATGGATCTTTCTAAGGCTTTTGACTGCCTGCCTCACAATATCTTGCTAGATAAATTATCAGCATATGGTGTATCCCCCCATGCAGTTGCTCTTTTAAAGTCCTATTTATCTAATCGTAAACAACAAATTAAAGTCAACAATGTTCTGAGTGATTTGGCTGACATCCATAATGGCGTACCACAGGGTTCTATACTAGGGCCATTGTTGTTTAACATATTTATAAATGATATTTTTCTTTTTGTTAAAAATGGTAGTTTATATAACTATGCAGATGACAATACTTTGTCTTTCTGTACTCCAGATTTTGATTTATTAATTTCAACTTTGGAATCTGAGTCAAAAATACTTATTGAGTGGTTCCGGGTGAATAAAATGCAAGCAAATCCCGATAAGTTTCAAGTTTTGGCTGTTGGCAAAAAGACCTTTGAACAAAACCCATCTATACGTATTCAAAACTCGAACCTTACATGTGAAAAAACAGTTAAATTATTAGGCATTGAAATTGACTATCAGTTAAATTTTGATGTTCATATCAGCTCAATCTGTAGGAGGGCATCACAGCAATTAAATGTTTTAAAACGTTTGGGCTCAGTTTTGGATAGACTTAGTAAACTTACTATTTTTCATACCTTTATTCTTAGTAATTTTAATTTTTGTCCTTTGGCATGGCATTTTTGCACTGAGAAAAATTCCAAAAAATTAGAAAAGGTGCAGGAAAGAGCACTCCGTTTTGTATATGAGGATTTTACCAGCCCCTACGAGGACCTCTTACTTAAAGCTAAGGTGCCCTCCTTGCAGATTAGACGGATTAGAACAATGGCTCTAGAAACTTTTAAGATTATAAATAATATAGCTCCTGTGTGCTTACAAAATTTGGTGAGTGTCAAAAAATCTAAGTATTCTTTCCGGTATGTAAATATTCTAGATGTTCCACAGGTAAAGTCAACCCGTTACGGTAAAAAATCTTTCAAATTTGCTGCTGCTACTTTATGGAACAGCCTTCCAAACCATTTCAGGACTGAAAATAGTTTTTCACATTTTAAAAGTCTTGTTCAGTCCTGGAATGGTTTGGAATGTCGATGTTCTGCTTGCAGATAATTCTTGAGATGTTTATTATTTATGTTGCTTTTGTTTGCTCTGGTCTAGCATGTTTTATTTCATTTTAAATTTGTTGCTAAATTTTTATTGCATGCTATGTAAGTGAGATTTAACTTCGTATAACAGGTTGTTTTATATGTCAAATTAGACTGTTTTTATGTTATGTATATGTTTTTATATTCGGTCAAAAGCTCCTTAGAGCTTGTGTTGTGTCTTTTAACTTATGCCGAATCAAAATAAAGTTTTCTTATCTTATTACATCCCGCACAGCCAAACAGACGCCCACTTTGGCAAGCGTTTTATTGCCGGTCGGAAGAAGACCAAGTGACCACACTTCTATTCCCCAGTCATCCTTGGGGGGTCTAAATGAATTGAACACTGAATTTACCTTCATCAGGCACGCTAAAATCCTAACATTTGAAAGCCAATGATGTATAAGACTCAAACCTATTAAGAGCTATATGACCAAACGAGACATAAAGAATAGCCGAATTCATCTACGATCAACTTTTTCTGAAGGACTTGGAAGAACCTTAGTTTCATAAAAATTTCTTAATCTATGATTGGGAGATTTTAAATAAATACGTGTTGTAAAATATTGTCCTTTAATTACAAAAGGGGATTAAATAATAAATCCACTCTTGTGGTGGCGGTATTTCACAGTGAATGCTAGTGATTATCGTTGTTTTGGTTTTTTTTTCATTCGAAAACATCTCTCTGTATATCATGTATATTCGCTATGAAAGATGTATGGGTAATAAAACCGGAGAATAATCGAACGGAAGTCTCATCATATACATCAGAAATTTAACATTCGGCGACAAATATTACATAAAAATTCTGTGCAATTTAGTCTCAATGTCAAATGAGAATGTACTATGCTTTGCAATAGACAAAAAGTCGGACTTTTTACGAGCTAGCTCATAAGGTAGTAGTGCACAGGAAGACATGTATTCGCATGCAGTACCAACGAATTTTAGTTAAGAATAATGGACTTTGAGAAAATTGCACTTCGGTAAAATAAATGCAGGAAAATTGGCCAAACATCTTTTTGTTATATATGCCCTCGCTAGGAATCGTGCACACGACTTTCCGCAAACGAACTAGTCGCGTTACCACGAGATCAACACGGTTGTTGAATCACAATCTACATAGATTGACAAATTATATGAATATGAAAGCAGTACTAGTTAATTCGAAGGAGGAAATATATTGGTCACAATTTACTTAACATGATGATAAAACTAAAAACAATATGGAGATGTGGTATGATTGCCAATCAGACAACTATCAACCAAATGACGTAGAAGCAACAATAGGTCACCGTATGACATTCAATAATGAGCAAAACCCACATAGGAAAGTAAAGTATGAAAGGCCCTAACGCGACAAATTGTGAATTAATTTAAAAAAGAAAACAAACGACCTGATTTATGCTAAAACAATAAACGGAATAAAAATTGACAGACAATAATACACAACTGCTGAACTACAGGCGATTAAGGGCAGCCACATGCAGAGATACTAGTATTACGAAATTGTTAATGTTATGGTGCAAAATGGCTAGTTTGGGTTAATTTTGTTTGATTTGTAGCGAAACCAAACAACTGAACTCTAACCTACAATATGCATTGATCTGTAATTAGACCATATAGAAATATGAAGATGTGGTATATATGACTATATAGTCCAAATGACGTAGAAGTAAGCAACCATGCATGTGTCACCCTAATGCCTTCAAAACTGAGCAAAAACCCATACAAAATTACAAGCTATAATAGGCCCCAACATAACAAACACGACAAATGTTAAACAATTAAAACGAAAAATCCTAACGGCTTCATCTATGTACAAAATAATTAATAAAAAAACAAATATGACTGTCAGCAACAATCGACAACCACTAAATTACAGGTTCCTGACTTGGAATGGGACAGGCATATACAGAATGTTACGGATTTATTCATGTTTGGTGGCGCCGAACCCTCACCATAACCAGGGACACCTTAATTATATACAAAAATAAATTGTACAAAACAATAAACGAAAAAGAAATATTATATACAGAAACAACAGACAACCATTGAATTATATAGGGTGAAGTTACGGTTCCTGGAGTTAGTTTGACAAAAAAACTTACGACTATAAGATTGATCGTAATTACGTCATGAACAATTCAGTATACTTACGATCAATCTTAGTCGTAAGTTTTTTTGTGAAACCGACTCCTGACTTACAACAGGCACATCCATGACTGTTCAATGTTTACTTATATGGGGTGTATTTCATGACAGCAACTGTTAATATAACACTATTATCCGTTTTGCGACAAACTGCATTCTGAACCACTGTTTACGACCCCCATATATGTATAATGTGTACATACCTATTCCCTGTCGGTATCCCCAGGAATGAGCTATAAATAAACAGATAAATAACCATTTAGTACATTCATGACAGTAAACATTAATTGTACCGTTTTTATTTTATTACGCTTAAAATTATGAATACTCACATGTTCTGGAGTGTTATTTTGTCAAAATTGAAAGCATGCATGTAGCAAGTGCGTTTGCAATTTAAAAAAAAAAAGAGAGAAAGCATATATTTCATTTCTTTTTGACAACCACAATAAGTTTTTCTCAACAATGTTCTTTGAACTATATTTTCTAAAATCAAATTTGCCCGAAAAAAATGTTGGCCGTCTATTTCGGCAAAACCTCATTACTGACCATGCTAACAAATTATTGAACAGCTACAGGGTATGCTATAATTGGTGACTACATTGTATAATATGGGAAGAATATTTTAGCCATTCAAAAAATAAATATGTGGATGCCAAGAATTCATTTTTGGTCACAGCGAAAGTTGTGGCAAAAATACACTTATCTGAACGCATCATTTAAATCACTTGGTCGAGAGAGAGTTGAAGGGAAATTTAATTTGTATAAATTGCATTTTACGAATAGTCTTTTATTATTATGATTATTAAAATTCATTATTTTGATAAACAAGTTAGTTACATTAAATAAAAGGAGACGTCAATACATATAAATTAAAAGATAACCCAACAATTAAAATTCATAGAAGCAATATCAATGAACTTAAAGTTCATTCTTGTTTTAAACATGTGTTGACTTGATCAACATTGAGCTCAATTACTTAATCAAAGTGGATAATTCAGTTGTGGAAAAATATGGTCGCCTCGAAAATATTTTAATAATCACAATACACGCATTTGCATTTTTTTTGTTTCAGAGGTAACCTCTTGGTATAAAAATTGGCCGCAATTTCTACGTCTGAGTGGTACGACTCCCCCGCAAGGTCCCCTGTTTGATTGTGTTGAATGTATAAATACGTAGTCACTTCTCGTTAGAATTGGGACGTTAATTACGATGCACCGTGAAGGGAGAATGTAGTCGTTGGCAAGTTTTCGCTTTTTCAACATATATTCTCCCTTTGCCAGTTGGAGACGAAATTCCCGCACGCCCTTCATCCAACTTATTGTATCTCTCGTCTATTTCTTCTCGTCTTGAATATGCATTGAATATTTGTCACTGGACGTTAAGCGAACTACAACATCAATCGATTTTTTTTCATTTTTAAAGAAGAGTCTTTCACTGAAGAGATGACCCGCCACCTTAAAACTGTTCCCCCATGTTATAAAATGAAATAATTATTACCAAAGTTGGGTTTTTTTCAAAGTTTTTTTTGTTTTATTACTGTTATTAGTAAGTTTTATGTTTAATTTATTATAAATCGGATCGATATTTGATACCATATATAGTCAGCATTCATTTTTTTATTTCAGTTTACAAAATCGTAATTTTTAAATGTATACAGAACTCATACACTATCCAAATTAAAAGGGTTAAGTATAATCTAATTCATTCATATATATTGTATAGTTAGCAAAATATAAAAGTAAGGAGATGTTAACTTGTATGATTGCCAATTAGACAACTATACCCACAAAAGTTTAAATGAAGTGGCTATAGATAACAAATAAAGGCAACCAACTAAAGAGTAAACTTTACAAGACTTAGTACATTGTAGCAAACAATCTAATTAAACATATTAAAATTTTAATATAATCGACATGGACAAAATTGTAATTCAGAAACTTATAATAATAAAACTCATCATGTACGTACAACATGCATGCAATTTGAATTATATAATTTTTTTTAACGCATTTTCTATTTCCATTAAAAGAAACTTTCACACGTTGTTAAGTACAATCTAAATTTTATAATTTAAGGTATGAAAATAACATAGACAATCTAATAAACATAGCGACTGTTTTTAATATGGTAAGGTTAATACTTAACGTGCCTCAATTGTTATAAATTTCCTTTAAGACCCTCATAAACAAGGGGAGTAAGCAAGGAGGTCATTATCCGCATCAAGTACTAATCCTGTAGTACATCAACATGTGTATAATTAAATCCCTTTGTCACGTTACGACAAACAACTACAACAGTGCGATTTGTGTGTAAACACAGCGGAAATTTAAAAGTTGTGTAAATTATGTGTATAATCATGTCTATGTTAACATTTTGTAAAAATAGATTTTTGTTTACCTTTTCTGATCAACCCATGAAAGATTGATCGTGAAGATTTCACAAATACCAATCTGGAAATCCGTGTACACATCTGGCTGATTGATTGGGTGTTTCCACACAGTCAAATTCGATTTAATGTACACGTTTTAGTTATTACGCTTGAGACAATTCTAACGGATATCCCTGTGTATGCCCCAATTATTTATCCGGTGTATGGTCAAAATAAAACTAGCCAATACCAAACGGTGATAAGGAAAGTATGACTTGAAGAATAGTCCAAAAAATAATTTATCAGGCATCGCAAATATATTTTGTAACACTATATAGATGTTTTAAGGGGCCCATTTCACGCGGGAGGACTGGGAGCAGATGGTTTTTTTTCTGGATTGATCATTATTTACATTTGTTGCTACACTGGGCTATTTTTTATTCCGCGGTAAAATTTATTTTCACTTTATAACACAATCTATTCCTGCATTTGGTGTTGCAGATTTTTCATTTTCGTCATGTCTTCCTACTTCGGCAAAATCGCTTGTCTGGCCAGCTGGATATAACCAAACGGTCGTACCCTTATTTAGGAGATGACAAATGAATTTTAATGGGAAAAAGGGGGGGGGGGGGGGGGGGGGGGGGGGGGGAGTGGGGCTTTGAAAATGAATAACTTGGCCTAGTAAAGACTAAAAAAAAAAAAATAATAATAAAAAATAAATCATTGACTTTGCACAAGACAGGATGAAAATGAACATTCGACAACATAAAAATCAGTATAGTTGAAAAGGGCCCCTAGCTGTTGAATTGAAAAGAGAAAATACATTTTCGAGCGGCAAAGTAATAATAATTCAATACAAATAATAACAAGGCGAAAAAAGAATCGGAGAACATTCTTGTTTATTATCTGCACAAAATACATCTTAAATAAAGATGAATGTTGCTACAATACTATTAATTGATTGCATGATTGTTTGTTGATTAATTAACGTCCAGTGGCAAGTATTTCATGCATGTTCAGGACGAGAACAAATTAACAATAAATACAATAAGTAAATCCTGTAATAGAGCTTCACTTATAATTCTGAGATAAATGTTACAATGGGGTTCTTATTCCCCATCTTTGATCATCCTTAATTTCTGTGAAGCGTTAAAATTGTGGAAAGTTAAATGTTCCTTTTTTTGTCGTTTTTGTCCTTTTGGCAGTGGCTTTGTTATATTTTTGTTTTGAAGCGTTCTCATTTTATGATAATATAAACACAAGTATTATCTTTTTGAACGAAAATGTTTTATATTAATATTTCAGCTATATCTAATTGTAAAGCGAATATTAGAGACTACATATTACAAATGTGTTTGTATCAAAACGTGACCAACAAAAAGACAGTATATGACCCTAAAAAAATATACTTCAGAGAATATTCTATATCTTTCAACACATGGTTTGTTAAAATTGATCTATAAATGCCTTTTACATAACATATATATTTAAAAAAAATAAGTGCTCTCATATGAAATATATTGCGAAGGAGAGGGTATGATAAGGCAACTTATTCACCACTCGAATTCCTAATACAAAAAATTAATATATAGGCCTGTGTAGATCAACCAAACACCCTTCAGTTTGTCATATGGCGTTATGAGCTTCAAATTAACCTCTTACATTTTAAGTGTAACTACCAAAAATTTGAAAACAACACGTTTAATAATTTCATGCGTCCGAAGCGCTTTTCTGGATTTACCTTCATCAGGAACGCTCAAAGCCAAACATTTGAAATCCGATGGATGTATAAGCACCGAAACAGTTGAAGAGCTATATGAGGGGCCTGATGGGTTGTTTTCGTTCTTCGTGATCGGCGCATTTTCGCTATCGTGATCCGTTTTTCTAGATTTTTTTTTTTTATATTTTCGTGATCCGTGATCATGGAAATTTATTTTCTGTGAATCGTGATTGACAAAAAAATCAACTTGTGTAATCATGCATCTAATAGTTAAATGGTAGAGCTTTGTTGCTCATATAAATTTTGACCAAACACTTACCATGAAACGGTGAAATAGTCAGCTACGTAGATTTCACCATGTTTATGACTTCACAGTGATCAAAAACTACCTCTCTGCACTAATGACAGTAATGTGTTCAGATTATATCTTCTGCTCATTTATCAATAAGATTAAGAAATCTTTGAAAGGTTTGAATAACTTTTTGAAATTTCAGGGGCCAAATATGTCTCTTATCATACCTCCTTATTTCTGTAGGTGAAAAAATACTATGAATGGCATATAATACCTCTGTAGGCCTTCGCTTTCCGGCATGTCCGAAGCGGTAACATGTTTCATGTTCTGGAGTAAGGGAGATAACTCGCGTAACCAACGACGTTTTTTTTTCAATCCTGAATATCGTAAGAAATCATTCTAACATTTATCTTAGAATGAGTAAAAAATGTAAAAGCTACATTTAACTTTATCCACTTGACTTTATCCAAGATATATTTTGTGCAGAAAATAAACAAGACAGGTGTCTTCTATTCCGTCCGCAATTTTAAGGGAAAATAAAATCTAAATTTAGAATCGAGGTTGAAACTGAAACTACACTTGTATGATAAAGATAGAACACGACATTTCTTCTTTATGATTTAGGGACTGGTCATTATTTGTCTCCAGGGGGGGGGGGGGGACAAAGAAGTAGGGGGGGGGGGGGGGTCATGAAAAAAAATGAATCTGATAGAGGGGGGTCATTCTTTTTCAGGTTGATCAAGTAGGGGGGGGGTCATGATTTTATTGGCCATATATTCATTGATCGCCATATACCATGACCATAGACTATACATGAATAGTTTGAGCCCTTCAGAGTTAAATTGTCTCCTAGTTTGACTCTTTCACAAATATCAAACTGTCACTATCAGTGATCTAGCTATAGCTAGAGCTAGTCACTTAACTCTTTGACTAATTTTATTGTCAAGTGATGTCAAGTGATGTGCAAAATTAGTCACTTTTCTTATGTTTTTCTTAGCCATGATGTTATAGGACTAAGAAACTAGGAATAGAGACTATAAAATTGGTTTCATAATCCTGGCTTCACCACAGCAAAAGTAGAAGGTGACACCATTTTTATTTTTCAAGATGAACTCATATATTTTACAAACTGTTGTTTTATGTGTACAAAAAATATTCTATAAAGACATTTTCAAAGCATTTTCTTATTTTTATTCCATATCTTAAATATACCTCATATAGATTTCCAATATAAATAAATATATGAATGATTTGTTCATTGTTGAAGACCCTCTGTCTTCTGTCAGAGTAGAGAGCGACAATGTGGAAATGAATCATTTATAATACAAGAAGTTATTGAAAGGCCAGAAAAAGCTTCATTTTAACATCTCTAACTTGAAAAAAGACATCCTGACATTCTGTATGAATACAATAAAAAGTAATGCTCAGATATCAAACAAAGTTCAAATTTTTTACTCTTTAAAACTGTAAATGACAAAATCATAATTAAATACTAGTAACCAACTTAAACCCCAATTAGTTTTGAGTTTGACGAGATGGTGCATATCATTGGATGAATACCGAGCTAAATATGCCACTTTTTAAAATCTGATTTCATATAAAATATATTGGAAATTTTGACATTTTGAAAATACTTTTAGTCTAAGATACTGTATTCATTTAATTGTTTTGGAAAAAAAAACCTTTGGTGTTGGGATCTTCACTATAAATGAATATTTTTTTTAACCTTATAAGATTTGCACTTCACATATATGATATACTGTCTTATGATTTTTTTTTTAATATAGAGCAATTTTATTATATTAAAGGGTATTTTCAATAAAAAATACAAAATTTGTGATTTGAAATAGCAATCAAAATGCTGATTTCAGATTATTATGGTTTTATTGTTTTATAATAATATTTTAATATAAACTAATTGTTGATATAATAGTACATTGCATTGTATTTATGGCAAACATTCTTGACACTATTTCTTCAAACAATAGGCATTTGGCTTGTTAAAGACTGTGAAGTTACATCAGGGTATCCTTCTATCGGATGTTGTCCTCAATGCATTCTCTGTGTATGTGTATTAAAATACCTTACTAGGAAAATTAGCAACATATGATACTATTGAATCATTTGAAACCTTTCAATTATAATCAGAAAAGAGAGGGGGAGTCAAAAGTTTTTATGTAGTTGAAAGAAGGGGTGGGGGTAAATTTTTTAACACATTTTGAAAAGGGGGGGGGGGGGGGGTCAATCATATTTTATCATTTCAAATTTACATTTTGCCGCCCCCCCCTGGAGATAAATAATGACCCGTCCCTTATTTCAAATTTATATTCAAAGGGGGTAGCGAAATTATTTTTTTTTTGTTATTATATATGCTTTTGAAATGTTTGTGTTTCATTCAAAAGCTAGTACTAAATGAAAATCATTAAATAATATACTTCTCACGTCTCATTTTAAGAGAATGTTTAAATAAAGTTTTATTAAAGTAATTTGACCATCTATTTTACTGCAATTCCCCCCTCCCCCATTTTGTACGGCAAAAGGAAAATGGATCATAAAATATTAAGAGGACTGAGAGGGGAAATCAGTGCATAATTACATTTTATAGCCTTTTAAAGTGTGGAAAAATGTATATTTGTGTAGCATTACTTTATGAACAGTCTCTTTGAGTTACACCAGGTTCATACCATGAGGGTCTGGAAGGGGATTACAGAATAGAAGTTCTCAATCATTTCTATTCTTTGCCAACCGTTCACATGTAGGTACTAAACAAATAATGGTTCGATAAATATTTTACTTTGATATTGGCAAATCAATCCACTCGTGAAACATTATAAATAAATCGTGCTTTGTTGTGTTTTTAACGAAAAGAGCAAGCGACCGAGACAGGAAATTTTGCAGAGTCGTATCTCATGCATGCAAGTGTGTTAACCAGTAAACATTGGTTTGGAATAGACTGACTAGAATGACTAGATCGCTCGCAATGTGTCTAGTGATTTATTATCACTAGAAATGGTCAGGATGAATTTTAGAGATTATGCTTTTTTTTTTATTAATCAATGAATTATACATACATACATATATGTATTAGAAATCATATCTACGTGTTTATGCAACAACAATATCTTCATCGGACCAGAGTTGAAAATATGAAGGTTCGGTATTTTATCAATTCTATGGTAACAGGGACAAAATCAAACTCGATAACTAACTTTTGATACTTGATTTGTAAAC